GAACAACCATTATTCTCTGATTTAAATGAATAACCGTCTCGCATCAAACAAGATCCAGATATAATGTTCATGCTTAACGCTGGCACCAAATAACAATTATTTAGGTCTAAGACTAATCCCGATGGTAGATGTAGAGGTAGCGTGCCAACCGCGATCACATCGACTTTGGAACCATTTCCCACGCGCATTGTCACCTCATCCTTAGCCAATCTTCGCTTAATCCGTAGTCCCTGTTTCGAGTTGCAAATATTAGCAACAGAACCAGTATCAAATACCCAGGTGCTACTGCGAGCATTAGTAAGGTACACATCAATAACATGTATATCACATATACCTTTTCACTTTGCCATCCTTCTTATCCGCCAAATACTTGGGGCAGTTCCGCTTCCAGTGTCCAGTCTGCTTGCAGTAGAAGCACTCAGTTTCAGGCTTAGGTCCAGACTTGGATTTCTTCTCTTGAGCAGCAACTTGCTTGCTGTTCTTTTTGAAGTTCCCCTTCTTCCCTTTGCCCTTTTTCTTGAAACTGGTGGTCTTGTTAACCATCAACACTTGACGCTCCTTCTTGATTTCTACCTCCGCGGCTTTTAGCATTGCGAAGATCTCGGGAATAGTCTTGTTCATCCCTTGCATATTATAGTTCATCACGAAGCTCTTGTAGCTTGGTGGCAGTGATTGAAGAATTCTGTCAATGACACTATCATCAGGAAGATTAACTCCCAGTTGAATCAAGTGATTATTATACCCAAACATTTTGAGTATATGTTCACTGACAGAACTATTATCTTCCATCTTGCAGCTATAGAACTTATTGGAGACTTCATATCTCTCAATCCGGGCATTTGCTTGAGATATTAACTTCAACTCCTGGAACATCTCATATGCTCCATGACGTTCAAAACATCATTAAAGACCCGGTTCTAAGCCGTAAAGTATGGCACACTGAACTATCGAGTAGTCGTCAGCTTTGCTCTGCCAGACGTTCTTAACGTCGTCAGTTGCATCAGCAGCAGGCCTGGCACCCAGCGGTGCTTCCAGGACGTAACTTTTCTGTGCAGCAATGAGGATAATCCTCAGGTTACGGACCCAGTCCGTGTAATTGCTACCATCATCTTTCAACTTTGCTTTCTCAAGGAACGCATTAAAATTCAACGGAACAACATCACGAGCCATCTATCTATAAACAAACATAGAAAAGCAAAATACTATCAGGTACTAAGTTCATGATAAATTTAAGTTCAATTAATCATATTACTAAAGAACTCCCACTTAGACAGACATCTCTCTAGTCATCTAAGTGATCACTTGATCCAAATCAACTAAACCATGTCCGATCATCACGTGAGATGGAGTAGTTTCAATGGTGAACATCAATATGTTGATCATATCTACTATATGATTCACGCTCGACCTTTCGTTCTCCGTGTTCCGAGGCCATATCTGTATATGCTAGGCTCGTCAAGTATGACCTGAGTATTCCGCGTGTGCAACTGTTTTGCACCCGTTGTATTTGAACGTAGAGCCTATCACACCCGATCATCACGTGGTGTCTCAGCACGAAGAACTTTCGCAACGGTGCATACTCAGGGAGAACACTTCTTGATTATTAGTGAGAGATCATCTTAAAATGCTACCGTCAATCAAAGCAAGATAAGATGCATAAAGGATAAACATCACATGCAATCAATATAAGTGATATGATATGGCCATCATCATCTTGTGCTTGTGATCTCCATCTTCGAAGCACCGTCGTGATCACCATCGTCACCGGCGCGACACCTTGATCTCCATCGTAGCATCGTTGTCGTTACGCCATCTATTGCTTCTATGACTATCGCTACCGCTTAGAGATAAAGTAAAGCAATTACAGGGCATTTGCATTTCATACAATAAAGTGACAACCATATGGCTCCTGCCAGTTGCCGATAACTTCCGAGTTCAGCACACGTTTAGCTCGATGACGATCCCCGGGCTCCGATCCAGCAAAGCTTCGGGGATGAGTTCCGTCAGCACGACAGCGTGGTGACGATGATGATGTTCTACCGGCGCAGGGCTTCGCCTAAGCTCCGCGACGATATGACCGAGGTGGAATATGGTGGAGGGGTGCACCGCACACGGCTAAGGAACGATCCGTAGATCAACTTGTGTCTATGGGGTGCCCCCCCCCCGCCCTTGTATATAAAGGAGCCAGGGGGGAGGAGGCGGCCGGCCAAGGAGGGCGCGCCAAGGGGGGAGTCCTACTCCCACCGGGAGTAGGACTCCCTTCTTTCCTAGTTGGAATAGGAGAAGGGGGAAAGAGGAGGAAGAGGGGAAGGAAAGGGGAGGCGCCGCCCCCTTCCCTTGTCCTATTCAGACTAGGAAGGGGAGGGGCGCGCGGCCCCCTCCTGCCTCCTTCCCTCTTCTCTCCCGAGGCCCATGTAGGCCCAATAACCCCCCGGGGGGTTCCAGTAACCTCCTGGTGCTTCGGTAAAATGCCGATTTCACCCGGAATGATTCCGATGTCCAAACATAGGCTTCCAATATATCAATCTTTATGTCTCGACCATTTCGAGACTCCTCGTCATGTCCGTGATCACATCCGGGACTCCGAACAAACTTCGGTACATCAAAACTTATAAACTCATAATAAAACTGTCATCGTAACGTTAAGCGTGCGGACCCTACGGGTTCGAGAACTATATAGACATGACCTAGAACTATTCTCGGTCAATAACCAATAGCAGAACCTGGATGCCCATATTGGTTCCTACATATTCTACGAAGATCTTTATCGGTCAAACCGCATAACAACATACGTTGTTCCCTTTGTCGTCGGTATGTTACTTGCCCGAGATTCGATCATCGGTATCCAATACCTAGTTCAATCTCCTTACCGGCAAGTCTCTTTACTCGTTCCGTAATGCATCATTCCGTAACCAACTCATTTGGTCACATTGCTTGCAAGGCTTATAAAGATGTGCATTACCGAGAGGGCCCAGAGATACCTCTCCGACAATCGGAGTGACAAAACCTAATCTCGAAATACGCCAACTCAACATGTACCTTCGGAGACACCTGTAGTACTCCTTTATAATCACCCAGTTACGTTGTGACGTTTGGTAGTACCCAAAGTGTTCCTCCGGTAAACGGGAGTTGCATATTTCTCATAGTTATAGGAACATGTATAAGTCATGAAGAAAGCAATAGCAATATACTAAACGATCAAGTGCTAGGCTAACGGAATGGGTCATGTCAATCACATCATTCTTCTAATGATGTGATCCCATTAATCAAATGACAACGCATGTCTATGGTTAGGAAACATAACCATCTTTGATTAATGAGCTAGTCAGGCATACTAGTGACTATATGTTTGTCTATGTATTCACACATGTATCATGTTTCCGGTTAATACAATTCTAGCATGAATAATAAACATTTATCATGATATGAGGAAATAAATAATAACTTTATTATTGCCTCTAGGGCATATTTCCTTCAGTGGTAGCCAAGGATTCCTATGGGAATGTGATAGTTTCCTCTTGGGATTTCATTGGGCTTTGTAAAAGCACGGAGGAAGCGGAACTCCGGGCATGTATTGCTGGCCTTTATATAGGTATTACTCTACACAATCCTGTAATTTTAGAGACTGACTGTGCGTTTGTTGCTGCGTCTCTTGCAAAGGATAATTTTGACAGGTCAACACTTTTTTATTTGAAGAAGGAAGCAATGAATATCTCCAAGATGGTAAATGGGTTCAAAATTTCAAAGATTAATCGATCAGCCAATGTGGTGGCTCATCTCATTGCTAAGTATAGTCTTGAAAATAGATCAGATGGTATTCTTGTTAATGATGTTCCACCCTGTGTGGTGAATTTTGTAACGAGTGATTATAATAACTATCTTGGTTAATTAATATATGTGGTGGTTTAAAAAAAGCTCTTGGTTCCTCAAAAAAGAGTTCAAGCTCTCAATTATTTCTGGGAAAGCTTAATAATGCACTATATCTCTTGCCTAAGTTTTGTGCTTATGGTGGTGGGGTGGGTTGTGTGTTCAAAAGGGCAAAAGGAAAACTGAAAGTTCTAAATTTGTAGAAGTTTAAAAAATCTCAAAAGTTCAAATGTTGGAAAGTCTTAAACCTTAGAAGTTCGTACTCCCTCCGGTCCTTTTTAGTCTGCATATAAGTTTTATCCGAAGTCAAATTATCTCTACTTCGATCAAACTTATAGAAGAAAGTATCAACATTCACAATGCCAACTCAATATTGTTAGATTCGTTATGAAATGCAGTTTCATAGTACATACATTTGATATTGTGGATGTTGATATTTTCTTAATATGAATTTGGTCAAACTTTGTGGTGATTGACTTGCCACAAATCTAATATGCGGAGTAAAAAGGACCGGAGGGAGTACTTCGAAATTTCAAGCTTTGGAAATTTCGCAGAAGATTAAATTTTGTTCTGAACAATGTTGAGAGTTTGAAATCTTGCCATTTTCAATGTGGATTGATGAACGATGTCGGTGCCGTTCTTCTATGACAGTTCTTCTATGGATGTTCACCAAATAGGGAAATTGTTTGGAATTTATTTATTTGTTTTAAACCCAAAAACGGGAAAGTAGACGGGCCGGCCCGTTGGGCCATCCGAAAGCCATATTGTTGTGGTACTAGTACTATAATCTTATCGTTAGCATCCTTGCTCCATCCATCGTACGGTACACTCGTACCAATCAGCGTTAGCGCGAAGGGATAACGTCCGTCCGTTCCATCCTCGCGCGCGCGGCCGCTCCGGCTCCGGCTCCGGCCATGGCGTCCACCTCCGCCTCCCTCGGCGCCATCCTCCAGCGCTTCCCGCTGCTCGCGCCCCGCCCCGCCTCCCGCCGCGCGCCCACCGCCCGCCGCGCCGTCGCCAACAAGATCTCCTGCATCGGATGGGTACGTACCAGTACCACGTCTCTCCATCTCTCGGCCCAACTGGCTGCCCGGTGGTGACTGACTGACGCGCTCGGTTTGGGACGCTCGCAGGACCCGGAGGGCATCCTGGCGCCGCCGCAGCCGGGCCACATCGCGCGCCTCGAGTTCCGGCGCCGCCTCGACAGCGACGCCGACGCGCGCGCCGCCTTCGACCTCCAGGTCAAGGAGGAGCAGGAGCGCCGCCGCAAGGAGCGCGAGGTACTGCAATTCATTCATCCATTGCCATTCCGTCCGTCGAGCACGTCCTGTGGCCGGGCTGAGCTAAGACCTCCTGACACGGCGTGGGTGCAGGCGCGGGTGATACCTGAGACGGACGCCGGGCTGGTGGAGTTCTTCCTGGACACGGACGCGCGGGAGATCGAGATCGAGATCGGCAGGCTCCGGCCCAGGCTCAACAAGGGCTTCTTCGACCACATCCAGCGCGAGATCGCGCAGATCAAGTTCGCAGTCACCAGAACAGCGGTCTGTACTGCCAACTTGAACTTGTGCTCCCTGCTTCCTCTGCTCTTGAGTGTGCGGTAAAATTTGTTCCAACTGATAAATTCCAGCCTGATTTTGGTTTCCTCTGTGTGCGCGCTCGCAGGCAAATGAAGACAGACTGATCGAGCTGGAGGCGATGCAGAAGGTCATCGGGGAGGGAGTCGGTCAGTGAACAAAATCTTAGCTCTATTAAACCATGGGAAATTTTACGGTACATCATACTACTCAACATAACGGGTAGTATTAAGTTAATCTAATGGTCAGCATGAGACCGTCAGATTTTAACTTAAGGACATATTGGTAATTATGAACGAGTGTGGGATGGAGAATTACCGCGTGAGATTTCAGGGGAAGGTGTCTGCGGGATGGATACATTTGAACTACCCAAAACACCCTTAATTACTTAATATACTACCGAAAATCTAGTGTAGTATCTGCTCATCTGGGCCATTGAACTAAAAAAATAAACGGTCCAAATTAATCTGATGTACCGTAAAAAGTCTCACTAAACCATCTCAATGTTCCAAGCTAGGTAGATAACTTCTCTGTATCTGTAACTGTTGCCCTTGCTGATGATGCAGAGGCCTACGACAAGCTGCAAAACGACCTGGTCACGGCCAAGGAGCGGCTCACCAACATCCTGCAATCCAAAGATAGGAAGAAAACTGTAAGATCTGAAACAACAAGAGCTCAAAAATGCCGTCACTAGTCTGGTATGAACCTGCTGAGTTTTTGTAATTGTGAATTGCTCTTGCGCAGCTGCTCGACATGGTTGAACGGAACGAGCTCAACATGTCCATATTAACGCTTCTCGACGAGAACATAGCGAGCGCCAAGACCAGTAACCAGGTGATGTGCTGCCCCTGGCCTCTATAAGGAATGAGAACCGGATAAATTAGCAATGCTTTGGATCTTTGATCGTGTGCTTCTTTTGCTACTATTTATTCTAAACCTGTGTGTTTGTGTTTACTTTTCAGGAGGAGGCCGTGGCTTTCATGGAGGATGTGCGCTCATCTATGCTGAAATACATAACAGTATAAATTTTGCCTACATACACCGGTGACCAGTTATCTCTGCTATGGCACTGGAGTCGTCTTCGGCGCATAGTTGTTCAAATTAATTCAATGGAGCTGTAATTCACAAGGCCATCTTGTGTGTTGTAATTTTGTTTCGGTTGTATCTAGTTGTTCTGTCTGATATATGTTGCAATTGTCAGTAGCTTTACTGGCAAAAAGAGATTGTACAATCATATATACATGCACGGCTGTACCAGAAACAAATACAACAAGACTATGATCTGTTCTCCTGGTCGGTAAACTGGTTTACCAATGTATGATTTGCTAGTGGTTTCTTACAACATGTAACAATTTGCACTGAAGTTCACACAAAGGGCTGTACTTAGGAAGAGGCAGTATCTATGTTTGAGAATGATCTGCAGAAAAAGGAGGTACACCGCGTTTTCTTACTTAAGTGCATATAATCCATGGCGATTAAAGTTAAACACAGGCCCCTGATGCTTGAATGAAACGGAAAAAATGCAGATTCTGCTGTCTAAAGAGAGAAAGAGAAGGAAGAAAAAGAAGAACAGAACAAAAAGAAAAGAGATATCACAAAGAGGATCAGCAGCATGGCATTGTCTACCGGTGCAAGCAAGGAAGCAATGCTTTGGAAAAAACAAAAGCAACATGATGCCAGAAGCCAGCGCCATCACCGCCACACCCGTCCTGCCGAAACGTATGGCTGCTCCATTTCTCACTGCATTCTGAGGAGCTCCATGACATGAAACAGTGAAGTTTCCTTTTGTCTTAACCAAGATGATCGTGTGATATATCGCCGCCCGGGACTGGATTTCTTGGGGACATCATTTCTTATCGCTCGCTGCAAGTGTTCTTCCCTGCTTCTTGGAGACAGCTCCAGAGGTACCACAATTGCACATACTACATTTTAATCCGTATTTTCTCATTGGTTTTCACAGCTTCAGATCAGGATTGAGGAGATCCGGCCTCTTTACTTTTGCAGGGAGTGCAGAGATCTACAGCTGACGGGTTGGACATATTTGTTTCTCATGACTTTCCGTCCCTCCTGGGAGTGATTTTCTCTGAAGTTCAATATGTCTCGGGAACCTAGATCGCACCACCTGGTTAGTTCCTCTTCTCGTTGGTGAGATCGCAAAGTAGTTAGTTGTTAATTCACGTCTGCGTGCTTGAAACCCGGTCTTGTTGGCATGTGCATCATTTGCACCTGTCATAATCATCATTTACATCCCCAACAAAAGGAACAAGTTACACTAATTAATCAGATAATTATAAATATATAATCATCATTTACATCGCCACCGGAGACGACCACCGGAAAGCCCGCGCGGGCGCCGGGGAAGGTGGCGGCGGGGTTTTCGGCGCTCCTTCTCGCGGAGGCCCTCGGATCCAGGGGCGGCGGCCCCTTCTGGCATGGCGTGCGGCGTGCCTGAGGGTTCGGCCGTGAGGACAGCGAGCCGCAGGTGGTGGTCGAGCGCGGCGCGGATCTTCCCGTGCCAGATCTGGAGGTATTGCCCCCCTCCCTTCCATGCATCCCTTCCCAGTCCCGTTCGGTTTTGGATCTTGCCGGATCCACCTCCGGTGTGTTCTGCTGGAGCAGATCGGTGTCCGAGGGAAACTTTGGCTGCCTTGGCTGGCCGGCAGCGGCGACGCCGTATTTTGGCACCGCTTTCCTCCTTGGGGGCGCTGCTAAGGACACCATCTCTCCACTCCGACCTATGTCCGGGTGAAAGCCCAAGATCCGATGCGGATCGGGCGTCGGCGGCGCCCCGTGCACCGTAACCTTCCTGGAGGCGGCGCCAAGGACATTGGGATCGGATGGAAGGGTCTGCAGGTGAGGGGTGGGGGTGTGCTGCCTCCCTTTCGGTGGAGCGGTGTTTCGTTCTACATATTCTTGGCGACGGCTCTTGGCGGCATGGAGCAGCGGAGGCTTGGCATCAGATGTGTGGTGACGGACACGCGCAGGAGGTCGACGCTGTCTGGCGTCGTGGTGGCGTCGGCGGCAGCGAGACCGAGCAAGGCCGATACAACAGTACAGCTCTGAAGATGGATATGTGGCAGGTGGCTGTGGCGGCCTCATACCCGGCAGGCGTCTTGGTTGAGGAGCACGCCGGACTGGTGGGTGCCCATACCCGGCAGGCGTCCTGGTTGGGACCTCAGGTCTTAAATGTTAGGTTTGGCTGCGAGATTCGTTTGGTGTTAGGCCCAGACCATCAGCGCCCCTTCATCAGCTAGATAGGAGTAGCGACAGAGGCTGCTCAGATGGTGGCTTTGGTCTTACTGTTGTACGACTTTGTAAGGTCTTGTGTTCATAATTAATAAATTGGCCGTATGCATCGTCCAGATGCAAAGGCCGGGGGGTATTCCTCCTTTTCTAAATAAATAAATAAATTTATAATCTACTAGAGTGTAGCTTGGGGCCTGTGCAGAAGCCTCCCCAGATTTCTGCTGTGGATAAAGCAAATTCTACAAAGTATGCCGATTGAGAATGGTGTAATTTGGTTGCTTAGTGATGCAGTCATTTCAAAAGACCGGTAGTTATGGTGTGATAAGCTAGTAACTGACAGAAATACAGCCGGTGCCAGGCCAATGAATCCTTCTAGCTTTACACAGCCACAACGAACGCAGATACAGCAGGCAATCACACGATCATAAATTTGTCAATTGAGTGCGTAGGCACTAGGCAGTAGCTGCATGCTTTGCAAATTTATAAATTGGCATAAGGAGCTCAACATGTCTGGAAGACCTAGGATCAGACTGTTGATTTTGTTAGCAGGTGCATCCACTGTTTCAAATAGCCCGCTATAGCTCCGCTATAGCACGCTATAGCGTTTACAAAAGATCTTGCGCTAAGAGACTTTGGTCCAAACAAATGAATAAACATTTTAAATAGCGCGCTATAGCTCCGCTATAGCACGCTATAGCATTTGAAAAAGGTCCGGCGCTAAGATGCTTAGCGCGCTATTTAAAACTATGGGTGCATCATATACGCCCATTGTGTTGATCATCCTCATGTTTAGATCAGCAGTCAGCAATTTGGACCGCAACAACTCAATGTACATTAAGTGAGGATATCTGAACTTTTATTTTGAACCCTTATTTATAGTTCCACTCTATTTAAACTCCCAAACGGGACACTCCCTAACGAATCCGAATGATATTATTTATGATGGCACCACTTGTGGCGTTAGTTTAGTCATATGCAAATAGCTAGTACAACCTAGAGTACCAAACTACTGAATACTGATATAAGCATGTGTTGTGGAAGTCATATATAACAGCCATTTTATTACTGCAGAGAGCAAAGGATCTTGACGACGCCGTCAAACAATTGCTTGGTCTTTTGTGTGAATGCGACCGTACTACACAAGGCAAAGCTAAAGCATTTTGCTTTGGTGGCTGGGATGCTGAGGGTCTGGGAGCATCTGCTGTTCTTAGAGCTACAGCAAAAGCCTTAAGATCCACAAGCGATCATGACATGAAAAGACATATTGGCAGAATTATCCATGTGGATTGCTCCCTATGGAAAAATAGAAGGGCCATGCAGAGGGCAATTGCGGAGGAGTTGAACCTTCAGCATGTAATGGCACTATTTGATGAGCAGGATGAAGAAGATGATTTTAGAGGGGTAGATGAGAGCTCTAGGGAAGTGATAGCAAGCATCGGGAGAGTGATCTATGAATCTCTATTGTATGAAAAGTTTCTGCTGATTTTACATTATGGGGGAGATGAAGATATTGATCTGGCAGAGTGTGGCATTCCTGAAGTTGGTCCGTTTGGTAAAGGTAAATTGCTGTGGACCAATCATGGCAGATTTCCCTACTCAGTGAGCGGATTGCATAAGTTGATGTCCATTTCTACTTACATTGATATGACCATCTACTCTGGCCCTCAAGATATGGTCTCCAACTCCATCTCTATCAAAAATAGTAGTCACCCGGTGTGTGCTTTCTTTCACAAACAAGCGGCTGCAGTGATTGATCACACCGGCATGGATGGCATCAACCCGACAACAGTTCTAGATTGCTTATTGTACTCAACGTTCCTGACAAAACAATCACAACAAAACCCAGCCATCGGTGTCGACTATGGTTGGGATACTCACGCTTGCAACTACTGGATTTGTGATGGAATCCTTCAAGGGGACAGAGCTTGGGAGATTGGCAATGCATTATATGGAGTGATATCACGGTTAGGCTATTCTTCAGCGGCAAAAGGACCATTTGCAAAGTATTTGAATCAGCGAGAAAACCCCTATAATGGCTGGTATTCAGTTACCTCAAACAAAAAAACCGCACATGACATGTGTTATGTACCCAATAGTGCATCATCATATTTCCTAACTTACAAGGGACATGATCCAATTTATCTACGCTATGATTTTTTTCACCTAGCTACCAATCTCCGTGTGCTAAAACTCAGCAAGTGCAGCTTTGATTTTGCATATCCTCCTTTTTGGTGTTGCCACAACTTGAGATTCCTTTGGCTTGATCATTGCACGAACACAAGGAAGGAGTATGGCAGCGGATCAATTTTTCCCAACCTGCTGGTGTTTGACTTGCATTTCACAGAATATGTTTTATTTCCACAGATGATTGAACTGATGACAAATCTCAGGGAGATAAATACAAAGGGAGTCTCATGGAAGACTATCGGTCATGCATGGAAAAGGCTACAGAAACTTCACAAGCTCCGAGTAACCGAATCTTCAGATGTCATCACAGTGGACAGTTTCTCTTCCATAGATATGATGGATCTGCAGCTCCTTGACTTGTCCGGCAACACTCGCATGGAATCATTACCTGAATTGTCATCAGCAATAAGTTTGAAGATGCTTGTTCTTGATGGTTGTTCCAGCTTGGAGCATATTGTACTCCAAGGAGCTCTTCCACTGCTTGAGAGTTTCAGCTTCGATGGTTTTGGCCCAGCTGACAACTGGACACTTTTCATAGATCTGCCACAAAGGGAATTACGACTCAAGTCTCCGGTAGATCTAGATGAGAAGAAAGCCAAGGTGGTCCCACAAGAAAGGAATAAAGGAAAAGAAAAGGCCAAGGTGGCCTCCCAAAAAGAAGAAGAAACAGCCAAGGTGGCCTTGCAGAAAAAGGAATTAAAAGCCAAGGTGACCAAGATCTCCCTAGAGGGTTGTGTTCGATTGCACAAAATATTCTTGCGTGCACTGCCCAATTTGAAGGAACTGGACCTCTCTAGTACATCCATTAAAGTGCTCAACCTCAAGGCAATGGGCGTTCCAGGCCTCAGGAAGCTATTCCTATTGGGTTGTCAGCAACTTCGTGCCCTGATCTGGGACGGATACCCTAGATTGCAAGTGCTACATGTAGACACACGGGGAACCACAAGATCAATGCTGGACGGATCCTTTGACTTTAAGGCCTGTATTGCCTTTACAGACGGAAGGTTCATAGGGCCAGCCATACAAGGAATAAAAAGTCAAATATACCCTAACTCCTCCAGGGTACACCTCCTTATCACTTGTATGGATCATAGCCAAGCCAGCATCACGAATAGTATTGAGGAGGTTTGCCCTAGCCAAGAAACCAATTTGGTTCCAACAGGGAAGTTGTCTCTTTATAATGATATTGCCCTTGTCAAGGATGTCAAATGCTTGTCCTTGTTATGGGACCGTCGACAGCTTCAACCTTTGGAGAAGCACATCGAGATTGGCGAAGGAAGCTACAACTTTGAGAGTATAGATGACAACGGATATTTCAGAGATTTTGTTTTGACATTTGTTCAATCGTTGCATGTGCATGACAATTCATCCATCACTGCTATTCCCCCAAAGCGTGGAGGGATCTGGCGCGGCCTAGAATGGTGTCATGTGGAGAGGTGCCCAAAGCTCCACATCCTTTTTAAATGTTGGAGGGCACAAATGAACTTTGAACACATAAGGGCATTCTCAGCTTCTGATCTCCCGATGGCCTATTGCATCTGGGGTAGAGGCATTAATACTCAAAGCAGTAGTCGTTGTTTCAAACAACTGCAGCACATATACCTGCACAACTGCCCTCAGCTGGTGTTCGTCCTCCCCATTTCCTTCATCTTGCATAGCTTGGAGACCCTCCAGATTGCGTACTGCAGTAACCTTCGACATGTTTTCCCATTGGACAAATGGTGCCCTCAAGAAATCGCATCTGGTGTCAAATTCGACAATCTGAAGCACATCAAGCTATACCATCTTCATAGCCTGGAGCAGGTTTGCGAGGCCAAACTGACCGCACCGGCATTACAGACGATCAGTCTCAGGGATTGCTGGGGCCTGAGGCGTCTACCGGCTGTAGCACATCAAGATCCTAAGCCGGTGGTGGACTGTGAGAAGGACTGGTGGGATAAGCTCGTGTGGGACGGCGTCGATGTTGGCCATGACCCGTCGCTCTTCGAAATACGCCACTCAGCTCACTACAAGAAGACCATCCCAAGGGGCTCCCTTCTAAGGTTTGGTGCAGATTGTTGTTCTTACTAGCTACACAGATCCATAAAGTGTCAAAATAGTTCTTAGTAATTGCTTTTGATTCTGTTTCTTTATTTTTCAGATAATCTGTTATGGTACTAGGCGTGTGGTTCACCAATAGAAGGGAGGTCGGCCTGCGGGAAGCATTTATCGCTGTTACCTGTTCTCTTCTCACCACTTCTTAAGCCCTTACCAGCTGCCTGTGTGTTTGAACTTTGAAGTGTGTTTGTGCTGCTACATGCGTCATGAATAAACGGTATGTTTTTACCAAGGTGTGTTAGCTTGTCTTTGTGTGTTAAGCAAGCACTATAGTTCTAGCTTGTGTGTGCTTGTAATAAGAGGGTGTGCACACCTTTGTGCATCAACACTGTGGTGTGCATGAACCGTAAATTCAGCGAGTGTTTGGTTGATGAGATGACATATATGATTGTGATGAGTGGCCGGGTGATCTGACGGTATTTTCATCTGCTAATAGTGTTCTATCACCTAAATGTATATTTTTTTTTCCGCCGGAGTTTCTCTAGCAGATGTACATCTATCTCAGATGGTGAAACAACTATCTGTTTTTCCTATAAACAGAGTAGACCCTATTTTCAGCGTTCTTGCTATCACCACAGTGCTTCTAATGAGAGTAATGAGTAACGAGTACCTTAGTCCAAGAAGACAAGAACTAACAAAACAGTTTGATAAAACATTATATGCATGATTCAGCGGCGATTCACCAGAGGGGATGAAGATGCCGGTGATTTCATGACCTAGTTGAAATCACGCGAAAAGCAGAGCAACTCCTTGTTTTGAACAAGTAACAGCAAAGCAGTGCAGTTCCCTCTGCCTAGGGAACATCTATGGTTCTCCGTTCGACCACGACGACAGCCATGGGCGCATACCATCCAGCACAGCAAGAAAATCTGTTTTTAGAAAGAAAGAAAAAACTAGTTAATTGCTTGATATAAGTTTTAAGCAAGCAAAGCAATAGGACATGCTTATGCCAAATTTGTTCCCAAAGTTGCACCACAAAATGCAAAACTATCTAGATAACGCGGGTCATAAAGTGGATGATACCGCAATTTGCCAGATGCACATGGCGAAGATAGCAGCAAAACGTAGGAGCTCTTATAATTTACCATGATTGGCATTACGGATTGACACAGACTGCTTGGTACTTTAGTAGCGACAAAGAAGAACCTTTCACACATAATACTGATTATTAAGTGCTACAAAATGTCAGAACACAGTTACACCAAATCCAGCGTTCATTCTCAACAGATACAACAGGTCGAACAGATTTATTTAGCACAAGGTACATAGCTGGTGAATACGAGATGAAATTCGGACACAAACACACAGAAGCAGCACCGATAAGGCAGGCGGCAACAGAAGTCCTCGGCGTCTCACTTGGCCGAAGCCATTAGTTGACCGCTGCCGGCTTGAAGTCGATTATGAGGACTTTCTCCGTTGAACCCAAGAAATCAGTTGCAAACTCGACGTGTGCTGGGTGGTAAACGTACTCCTTGACTCCCTCCGTGCTTTCGAAGGTGGACTCGAAGACGTGCGTGAACCCCTGATGCATGTTCTCTATGCTCACATCGGTTCCCCTGCAAGCCAAAGAAAGAACGCAAAATTGATGTTTCAGCTTTGCGAAAATGAGAACAGGCTGAAAACTCGTGAGTGTCTGACAGGGTGTGATAGCTTGGTTTCAAGGTTGGTTTCGACAAACGGGCACATTTGAGGGCATAATGTAAACTGGCAGACACGAGTTGTTGTGCCATTGTGAGGGGAAGCTTTGATTCATTCTTGTTGCGAATGAATAGATTATAGCCATGCCAACTCAATATCACCAGCAAAAAAAAATCATAAATCAAACCACATGAGGCTAAATGTTGAAGATGTCCTGTCAAGGCATTTGTAACATGAGAGATGCTTGAGTAGTTTGCATTGGCTGCATCAGCTTTACTTGTTGGTTTGACCACACTGGTTTGGTTCCCCTGTTGGATCCAAGAGAAATAGTAGCTGGTTTACTACTACTTGAATCCGTCATTTTTAGAGCGATCACATGGCTTCCAAGCCAGCAGCCGCGCAGGGAAGAATCAGAGCCCAGGCAGGCAATTCGTCGAGCACCTGCCGGGCGCAGCCCGAGCAGCTACAGCAACAGTGCAGCAGAAAGGCGGCAGAGGCAGGAGGTGCGTGAACCGACAGGGGGTTGGTGGTGGCGGTGAGGGCAGGTGGCGTACCAGTGGAAGGCCTTCATGGAGGGGACCTTGTCGACGAGGCCGGCGTAGCCGCGGACGAGCCCGTCCAGCCGCTCCGGGGTCACGTCCTCCTTGAACTGCACGATGACGAGGTGCTTCACCACGCCGCCGCTCCCCGCCGCCGCAGCCATCGTCGCTCCCGGCTTGTTCGTGCTGCTGGCCGCCGCCGCGCACCGCCGTCTCCTCTCCTCCCCGCTTGCTTGCTTGCTTGTGTGCTCGGTGGACGGTGGTGTGGTTTCTTGGTGAGCTTCTTTCTTGTCCGGCCACCGCGCGCTTTGTACAGTTTGGCGTGGAGCGGATGGGTTTACCCAGCTGTGCGCGGATCTGGGATCCTGGGGTTGGTGGCGTTTGACAAGATCAGAGCGGGATCGACGATCGTGGTATCATGGGCATGGGCAGCACTCGCGGGCCACCAGGGTAATCATGGTGGCATAAACAAACGATTTTTTCCCCGGGATAAGGATCGTGTGGGGATCGGAGAGCTGGCTGGTTTACCTCTGGTGCAGTGATGCCCCTAAAAAGAGAACCCCTCTGTTAGTCTGGTTGTAATGGGGAGTATCATGTACTAGTATCATGCATATGATACTAGTGTATGATACTACCTCTCTAATGCATAATATCACATTTTAGTATCATGTAGTACTTTATTTATTGCCATGCATGACACAAAGTAGCATATCATTTATTCGTGATATGGTATCATGATATGATACTCCATCCTATCTTTCTTCATTTAATGCTATGACACCTCATCAAAATTACCTAGTTGGCATGCATGATACTATCTATGATACTACCATTACGACCAGCCTTACAGTGATACAATTTCCTGCATTTGTTTGTTGGTACATGTGCAGTGCGTAGTACTAGTAAGGTGGGGTTGCACCCCCTCCTGTCGACGTGGACAAGAAATCGTGTTGCACGCCTTCTTCTCTGCACTATTGAGCTCCTCGGTCGAGTCCGTCTGGGTTTTAACGTCATTGGCCTTTATGGGAGGGGCTTATCGGATTTCACTGCGATCGCCTCGGCGCCCCTTCTCCGACGAGGAAATCTAGGGTTCTTTCGGCCATGACGAGGAAATCTTCATTCAAGCCTTCTATCGTGCTTTCAAGTTTGAGGTTCTTCCCCTAGACCTAGCGAACGATTTTCATGCTAGGGTCGCAGATCTTGAGGGGATCGATGGGGCGTACATCGTTTGTTGCCTACGAAAGATGAGTGCTTGCTCTAAGCTCCATCTGCCCTATTTTATTGCAAAATGCTAGTGTCAAGGGACTCGCTGAGAGTGTTCAACATGTTGCGCCCGGATGCAACGAC